GCCTGGTGGGGACCCCTGTGGCCCTCGCTGTCCTCGGCCTGGTGGGGGCCCCTGTGGCCCTCGCTGTCCTCGGCCTGGTGGGGACCCCTGTGGCCACGGACACGTCACGTGGCGCTGGGCGGCTTCACACGTGGGCTTGGGCGGTCCCCTCGGGGGCCTGGTCTGCTGTCAGAGTGGCCGCGAGCAGCCTGACCCGGGGCTGCAGACACACGGAGGGGACTGGCCTTGCTTGCTGGCGTCGGATGCTTAGAGCTTGCTTTCTTGAGCCATGTTTCTCGTGCCGGGCACCTCACGGTTCCGGTTTTCTTGCCTGAGAGACCTGTGTAGACGGGCCTTCTCCCCCTCCCTGCCTTTGCAGCAACGGGGTGTTGGTGAGGTCCGTGTGGTCGGCGGTGATAGATGAGCACCCGGAGCTGGGGGTCACCGTTGGGGGCGCCCTGGATGCCGTGGCTTGTTTCCTGTTAGAAGCAGGTGTTTCCGCTGCTCAGTGTGTGCCTTTTGGGGCATCCTCAGAGGTCCTGGCATCTGGGGCAGTGGGCTGAGCCTGGCTCGGGCCTGACTGCCAAGTAACGTGGGCCCCACGACAAGGACCCCAGACTTCCTAGTGTGGCGGGCTGATGGTCTCCACCCCCCGCCCCAGTGTCATTTCCCGGTCGTGGCTTAGGCTTACTCAGGTGTACGAGCTTTGCAGGTGGGCTGCTAGCTAGAACATGATGGTGGAGAGAAGAAAAACTGCTAAGTGGGTGGGGAATGTTCCAGAAGGTTCCAGATGCCTGGTCCCCTGTTGGCGGTGCAGCGGCATTTGCTGAACGGTGCCCTGGTTCCAGGCTGGGGTACCACAGAGAGCAGGGCAGACCACAGCGTGGTGGGAGAGCCGGGTTTTCATGGAGGAGGGGTGTTTTCTAGAAGCCTGCGGGCGGCGAGGGCGTGAGCGTGGCGAGAGGCCATCCTGCGGTCCTGGGCTGGCAGGGCTGGCCCGGTGCCTGCCACTTACCTTCCAGATGGCTCGGACTTGTGGCTTTGTGCGTGGCCATAGGCCTCTCTTGGGGCCTTTGCTTGGGCCAGCTGTAGGCTGAAGCTGGATGATGCCCAGGGTGACAACATGGAGTTTCAAGTCACCTCTTTGAGGGAGCAGAACTTGACCCAGTCTGCAGAGGTTTGGGCCGCGCGCCTGGGTCTCCTTTGCCATCCGCTGGGCTGAGTGAGGAGGTGGAAACTGGCGTCTCCCTGGGGTGCTGGCAAGGGGCATTCAGGAGCCTTGCAGCCAGACGGGGCACCCTGCCCTGTGTGCACAAACACCCCAGAGCAGGGCCCCTGCTGCGTTTGCACCCCAGGCCCACAGCTTCCCGGCGGGGAGATCTTGGGGAGGACACCTGCCTTTGTGAGCCTTGGTTTACCTGTTTGTGCAGTGGGGCTGGTGCTGCCCGACCATCATGGGGTCGTAGGGACTCTTGACAAGTGTTTGGCATTGAGCACAGAGCAGAGTGAAGCCCCCCCCGCCGCACGTAAGTGTACAAAGCAGAGGTTGAAGTGGAGAGCCAGCTGGCCCTCGGGGAGCATGGAGGCCTGCCTGCAGGCGGGAGTTGGTCCCAGGCTGGTGCAGGGCCCCCCAGGTGCAGGCAGGCGGGCAGGACCCTGTGCTCTGCCCCAGCACCTGGCTGCCGCCACCTCATCATCTGAGTGGCCAGTAAGAGAAGGTGTGAG